ACTCTTTCATAATAAAAGTAACTTTCTGATACTTTGAAATAAACATTTATTGATATCTTCATATATCTTTAATTGTTACTTCTTTCATAATTGCAAATTACCTTAAATCTTCTTTGTTAAGTTTTACAAAAACACTCTAAAAACTTTAACAAAATATAGTAACAAGAGATATTACACAAAGTATTTACTGTTATTAGTCTCTCTAGTTAGTTGTTCTCTCTAAAGAAGTAGAAGCAGTGTAATAGTATGTTTTGAATTTCTTCAATATTAGAATAGAATGAAATGTAAAATACACTCTCCTTCATTTAACTAACCAAAAATCATACTATATTTAGACACAAGTAACAACTGATAAGTGATTCAATTTTTGGAAAAATTGTTATATTATTAACTGTAAAAGGGACACCTTTAGTTAATTCTTCATATTGCTTCTGTTTTATGTTATCTTTAATACTATCAATTAGAACTTTTTCAAGTTCATAAAGAGATATATTGCTACTTTCAATAATATGCTTAAGGCATGCATTTTGATTTTCTACAAATGATATAAATTCAATACTAAGTATAAACAAGATAGTTGTAAATCTACGAGCTTATGATTTATGTCTATTATACAAATAGTTTTGAAGGTATATGTATGCAGTTGGATAATTATTTGTTATTTCCTTCTAATAATGGTAAAAAATATCAGGTATATTAGCATTATGACATTTTCAAAAAGAAAAATAAAAATTATTAAAAGATCTACTAAGTTTTTCGTGAAGTGTTTTTTTAATGTTTTCTTTTAAGTGCCAAATACAAAGAATATAATGAGTTATGGAGTATTCAGTTACTATTGCGCTTTCTATGACAAGGTTTCTATTAGTAATAAATATATTAAGAACCCATCCTCATAATGCTTTTTTTGTCATATGTAAGACCTATTTGTATGATTCTGTTGTTTTATCACTAAGTAAAGCCTGAGCTACTACTCTTGATTTCATATTATCATCAATAATTACAAAGAGTGATAGTGGCATATTGTATCAATTTGTTTTAGCAGTATTATTATGACCAACTGCATTACCAAACTTGTACTACATAATAATTTGCTCTGAACTCATCCAGAATATTTCAATAAGAGTATTGGTCTCTAATTCCTATACTACTTCAACAAACTACCTTAGATCTTTACATTTTTTGGCTTGCAACTCTTCATACAATTATGTTGTATCAGCTTTATAATAACTTGCTAATAGTTTATTTCACTAGATTTCTGCATAGAGGTCCTTTGTATAAACTAGCTGAAGAGAGTACCTTTTTTTTAGAATCTGTCTAATTATTGTTATACTAAAATTATATTCCTTTACATAAAACTCAATATCTTTCTTCATCTCATTTGTAAATGTTCTCTGCTTTTTAAACTGTAATGCTTCAGGATATATTTCATAGTTATGTTTATTTACAAATATTGTAACAAAGTTGAGTGAATTAAGATTATTTTTTGAAGGTCTTGAAAGGTTAATATGCTATTTACAACCTTGTCTTATCATTTATCTTAGCTTTTTAGAATTTGCTTGTTAATAACTACTAAAATTTTGACAATAAATCACCCTTTTTTACATTACTTTCATGTCTTCATTAGTTTGAACTACTGTACTTTGCCTCATTACTACCTTGAAACCCATATATTCTGCATAGTTTTGTATGTGTTTCTTTATATGATCAAAATCATCAAATATTTGGTCTTTTTTTAGTGTAATTAATCTAGCATTTTTAAATAATATATCACTATCTTCAGACAAGGCTTCATCATCCATGTTACTATAGTACAAATCAATATTATAATCTTTATCTATAACTTCATCAGGTGGGTTTATTGAAATTCTTTCATTAACTGTGACTTCATCATGTAGGTTTATTGAAATTCTTTCATTATCTGTGACTTTATTACATAGGTTTATTAAAATTCTTTCATTATCCTTAACTTTATCAGATAGATTTATTGAAATTTTTTCATTATTTATGACTTCATCAGATAGGTTTATTGAAATTCTTTCATTATTCATAATTTCATTAGGTAGGTTTATTAAAATTCTTTCATTATTCATGACTTCATCAGATGGGTTTATTAAATTTGTTCACTATTTTTATTAATCATAGTTAATATAAGTATATGTGTTAATAAACGATGAAAAGAAGGGACATGTAAATATGTTAGTATTTTAGTTAGTGACTAAAAGAAGAAATTATAAGTGCATATATTAGTATATTATTAAATAACAAAGTAAAAGTGCATATATTAGTACATTGGTAAACAACAAAGAAAAAAAGATATATAGGTATATATGTGTTAATAAATAATAAAAAGAAAAAAAACAGTTATTATATATACACTCTTCCTATAAATCATTTTGGCTATTTTTAGAGCTAAAGAAAAATCAAAGTTTTTACAGAATTATTATTAAAAACAAGTATAAGAGTTACTAAGCAAGAAGAAAGAAGACATAAAGATATAGATAGTTTATTAAGAAGAAAAAGAAAAATAGCAACAACTTGAAGAAATATAGAAGTTTTTCCTTTGAAAGTTGTTATGAAAAACTTTTTTCTTAGAAATTAGGAATTTGGTCTAACCCTAAAATGTAAATTAGCTTACATAACACAAATATATGAAAAATTAGAAAAACAAACAAACATGTTAACAAATACTAACAAGATGTGCCATGTAACAACTAATAGAAAGGCAGCATGCAAGTTCAAATTAGAAATCCACAAGCAGAAAGGAAAATCTATAGAGAATTTAGAAAAAAAACATAAGGTCTTAAAATCAAGTATAATATAAAGCTTTAGGATAAAAGATAATATTAAAAAAGATATAAAGTATAGAAAGCTCTAAATACTTTATCCAAAAACTAACTAAAGAGTATGGACGAGAAATTATTCAGGAGAGTAGTATATCAGTACTAGGATTAGCAGATTATTTTGATGAAATGGTAGCAAAAGCTATGAATGTAGATAAGAATATTATTACTTTAGCTAGATAATGGTGTACTGCACTAGAAAGAGCTACTTTTACAGAAGGA